TGCTGAACGGCGGGCACTACGGGAGGAGAGCAACCCAGCTCCGTGGTGACCCAAATCACTCAGGACAGCACTGGGGATCGGCCTCACTGCAGCAATCAAAAAAAAAGAGTAGCTATAAATGAAGCTCAGCCTCCAACCGTTGTAGACCAAGTGCTTGTTTCTACTTGAAGGAGACGTCATGGAGGCTGGAGCTGTTTATCTCCTCTAAGCGGAGGCCAGATCTGTAGCTGACACCATTCTGCATTGCCCCTTCAAAATCAGGATGAGCGTAGTCCAAGTCTGGCCATGTGGAAGGGAGACGGTGAAAAGGCAAGCTCAGGGCACATCGGGTTTATCAGTACCTTGGAAGAGGTCACGAGCGCTTGCCAGTGTCTCAGTTGGCTTGGTTGTCTGGCAAGAGTTTGTTTATGAGTTAAACTTTGCTGGGTTCAAGGGAGCGCAAAATAAGAGAGAGGTTTGCTTACCTCTCAAACTTGGTCATCCACGCAGTACGGCAGTGGGAACCTTGAACTTGAGTGAGAAGTCACATAACTGGAGAAGGCCAGGGAGAGGACAACCTCAAGTGAGAGGGGCTGCAGCAGGAAGGAGGGAATTTATGACAGCGTGACTGCTACCTTTGGCTCAGTGATCCCACATGCGCGATGTGCGTGATCACAGCACAGCATGATTGCCGTAACCGTCAATTCCAACAGCAAGCTGGTTTGCTCCAGCTCTAAGAATGAAGTTGTGCAACAGTTCAAACATCTATGCACTTGATCTACTTGGCTTCTTTCAAAGAGAAAACTGGTCTTCTCTGATTAGTGGTCATCTGGTATTCAAATTTGTAATGCTAGTACAGCCCTGGCATATGCCTGATGGGGCCACCCAACCCTAGAGAAGGAGCTAGAAGGCTCCTAAGTGGTCATGGAACAAACCTCAATTGGAGTACAGTGCTGTGCCTGGAGGGGATGACCAGGAGGGGCCGGTGGATAAACAGCTCCAGCCTCCATGACGTCTCCTTCAAGTAGAAGCAAGCACTTGGTCTACAACGGTTGGAGGCTGAGCTTCATTTATAGCTACTCTTTTTTTTTGATTGCTGCAGTGAGGCCGATCCCCAGTGCTGTCCTGAGTGATTTGGGTCACCACGGAGCTGGGTTGCTCTCCTCCCGTAGTGCCCGCCGTTCAGCA